CATTATATCTACTTATTATTATATACAAATATATTTTCTCATTCTGTTAAAAAAAAGTGTGTAGAATAATTGAAAAGTTTTTCGTGGTTTCATATTACTTGTACATGTGCATTACTTTGTAATGTTGACCTCGAATCTTTCGGGTAACAGAGTCAAAAATAGAAGTCATATTCGAATGCAACAATGTAACACTTTACAGATATAATTTAAATTATGTCACACAATATGTTTCGCATATAATTTAATTTTAATATAATTACTCACAAGTTGAACGAAAAAATTTTCAAGTTTTATCGAAAAAAGTTTAATGAAGCTCAACATTTTTCTTACATTTAACAAAATATAAATTGTACTCAGTTTGTCAATTGTACTTCATTGTCTACAATTTATTGTTTGTATCTGATTTTAGCGCCGCATAGACCTTGTGATTGTTATTCAACATGTTCCGTTATTTATGTAATATTTTTAGAAAAATACATTGTCTGTATCATTTGTAATTAAATATCAGATAAATTTCATTAAGATACGATTTAAATTTATTTACATATATATTTTATGAATTTGAAAAAATGTAGCGGACAGGATTTTGGAAATTTTTATAATAAATCATTGAGGAAACGTATAAACATGTTCGCTATTACGTTATTGTGCATAATATTACAACCGAGCCAAATTCAAGCCGAGAAAGATGACTCAAGCCTCAAGGCTTCGTTGAGTTCGCTTTGCGGTCGACGTTGGCCCGGTTTATCTCCGGCCAATTCCGAAATAATCTTAGATTCGGTCTCTCCTGCTCTTACATCGAGGCCTATCGTCTCAGACTTCGTTATCTTTTCCTTGTTTTCTCCGCGCACAGATCTACTTTAGTACAAATATTGATGTATATTTTTATGGGATTGATTCGTTAAACAATAAACGGAAAATCTTTATGACAAAAATGTAGAATGACGAATTTTTATTTGAAGCTTTGCGTTTGAAAAAAATTAGAAGTATATTTAGGATGAATCAATGGCAGCTTAAATAATCATTCAAACAATCTTATTTT